TTTCTTTCTTTCTTTCTTTCTTTCTTTCTTTCTTTCTTTCTTTCTTTTTTATTCAATATTTATAAAATTAAAAATATATATATACATTTAACAGCATTGTTTGAGCAATAGATATACTTGTATTTTCCTTCTGATAACGTGTTATACGTTGTCATAATAATTACTTCGTACTTTTAAACTCTACATATGCATACATATAATTTATTTACATTTGTTTACACGTCACCCATATTCAAAATGTTACTGGGTCATCAGACATCACCTTTTCTTCAGCCAGTCATACCAGATATCCCATGTTTTGTAATATTCACTGTCTTATTATCTTTTAGCAGTTTAGTTAGTCTATCCATCTTGGCACATTTTATTTATTATCATGTTTTCTGTAGGGGTCGTAGTCAATTTCCAATTCTAAGCAAAACTTATTCTAGCTGCAGTTATAATATGCAAGATCAGGTATTGGTGCTTCTTTTCAATATTTGGTTCTAACATGCCTAGTAAAAAAATTTCCGGTTTGAATTTTACTTTCTGTTTTGTTATATCCTCTATCCAAATTCTAATTTTTTGCCAAAATTTTCGTGCATGTGGTGTGTCATATTAGAGAACATTTTGGCTAACTTCGTCGGTGGTGCCAGCGATGAAACATTTTATATAAATTCTCTCTATAAGAGACCCACATTGTTAACCTATAGCTTGTCTGCCAAAGATGTTCCCACTGGTCCAAGTTGATATTGTGGCCCACATTTTTAGCCCAAGTTATCATGCATTCTTTGATGGTTTCCTCCTTCATTTTATAGTGTAATAGATACTTGTAGGTTTTACTAATCATTTTTTTTCTTCTCCTTGCCATATCTTATCTAGCTCTTGTTGGGTTGTATAGAAGCTGAATTGTTCTTTGTCCTTGTTGTAGTGTGCTTGTATCTGTAGGTGAGGCCACTATCCTATCTCAATTCCCTGAAGTTGTAGTTGATTCCTAGTTTTTAATGCTCCTTTTTCATTTAACAAATCTCTGTAATTTATGATTTTAGTACAGTCCAAAACATTGGGATGTATTACTGCTTCTATTGTTGATAACCCTAGTGGCACCTTTACATAATGATTCCTTTTTATTTTTCTCCATGTATTAAGCAAAACATCTCTCACCCAGAGTCTTTGAAAGTATGAGTGGTGTTTACTCTTCCTGTCCCAGATAAATGCATGCCAGCCAAGTTGTAGGTCAAAACTCTCTAATGTTAGAATCCTTATGTTTGTCAAATTGATCCAATCTTTAAGTCATGTGGCTACTGCCACCTGGTAGTACAATTTGAACTCTGGGAGACCAAAGCCTCCTTTCTTTCTAGTATCTTGTAATAGTTTGTATTTTATTCTGGCTTTTTTCTTCTGCCATATAAATTTAGAAATGTGTTTTAGATCTTTGAAAAATGTTCCCCCCAACTTGACTGGCACCATCTGGAACAGGAATAGCAACTTTGGTAGGACATTCATCTTAATTATTGCTATCCACCCTAATAGGGAAAGGTGAACTCTGGCCCAATTGTCTAAATCTTTTGATATTTGAGTTGTCAATTTACCATAGTCATCCCTTTTGATTGAGGAACACTTAGCTGTCAACCAGATCGTGAGATATCTTGTTTTGTTTACTACCTGCATGCCTAATTTGCTTGCTAATTTTTCCTTTTGTTTTTTTTCTGCAGTTTTTCATTATTTATTTGTTTTTTCTCTATTAATTTTCAGCCCAGCCACCTTTCCAAATTCTTCTATTTCATTCATTAGTATGGTACCGTGTTTCTCATATAATAAGGCTGGGTCTTATTTTTTTTTGAGCCCCGAAAAAATGGCTAGGCCGTCTTTTTGGGGGTGACTTAATTCCCCCCCTTGCATCTTTGGGCGGGCGGCGACGGCTTGGATGTTGACCTCGGCGTTGGTGGGGCACGCAGGCAGCACCATATCTGGGTGTGCGATAAGTATTTCCTAACGGCAAGCCCTCCCACCATTCCCCCACATTTCGCATGTTTTAATATAGGCCTTCATTTGGGGGGAGGGGCTTAATTTCATTTCATGCCTATAAAACATGCTGGGACTTCCTATTGGGGGAGGCCGTATTGTTGGAGAAACAGGGTACTTGCTTCTTTTGGGTCCTCCATTATGAATGCCATATCATTGGCAAAGGCTTGGAGTTTATTCTCTTCTTTTTAAATGTTTAGTCCTTTGATATCTCGGTTTGTCGTATTTCTGTTAATAATATCTCTTCTGCTAGTATGTACAGCAATGGGGCCAGGGGACACCCTTGCCTCACCCCCTTATTTATCTTTATACTATCCATAATTTCTCCATTCACTATTATTTTTGCTGTTTGTGTCTTATACAGGTGAAACTCAAAAAATTAGAATATCGTGCAAAAGTTCATTTATCTCGGTAATGCAACTTAAAAGGTAAAACTAATATATGAGATAGACTCATTACATTCAAAACAAGATAGTTCAAGCCGTGATTTGGCATAATTGTGATGATTATGGCTTACAGCTCATGAAAACCCCAAATCCACAATCTCAGAAAATATAGAATATTGTGAAAAGGTTCAATATTCTAGGCTCAAAGTGTCCCACTCTAATCAGCTAATTAATCCGTAACACCTGCAAAGGGTTCCTGAGCCTCTAAATGGTCTCTCAGTCTGGTTCAGTAGGAATCCCAATCATGGGAAAGACTGCTGACCTGACAGTTGTGCAGAAAACCATCATTGACACCCTCTGTAAGGAGGGAAAGCCTCAAAAGGTAATTGCAAAAGAAGTTGGATGTTCTCAAAGTGCTGTATCAAAGCACATTAATAGAAAGTTATGTGGAAGGGAAAAGTGTGGAAGAAAAAGGTGCACAAGCAGCAGGAATGACTGCAGCCTGGAGAGGAGTGTCAGAAAAAGGCCATTCAAAAGTGTTGGGGACTTTCGCAAGGAGTGGACTGAGGCTGGAGTCAGTGCACCAAGAGCCACCACACACAGACAGATCCTGGACATGGGCTTCAAATGTCGTATTCCTCTTGTCAAGCTGCTCCTGAACAACAAACAATGTCAGAAGCGTCTTACCTGGGCTAAAGAAAAACAGAATTGGTCTGTTGCTCAGTGGTCCAAGTCCTCTTTTCTGATGAGAGGAACTTTTGCATCTCATTTGGAAACCAAGGAGCCAGAGTCTGGAGGAAGAATGGAGAGGCACACACTGCAAGATGCTTGAAGTCCAGTGTGAAGTTTCCACAGTCTGTGTTGATTTGGGGAGCCATGTCATCTGCTGGTGTTGGTCCACTGTGCTTCATTAAATCCAGGATCAATGCAGCCGTCTACCAGATTTTGGAGCACTTCATGCTTCCTTCCGCAGACGAGCTTTATTGGGATGCTGACTTCATTTTCCAGCAGGACTTGGCACCTGCCCACACTGCCAAAAGTGCCAAAACTTGGTTCAATGACCATGGGATTACAGTGCTTGATTGGCCAGCCAACTCGCCTGACCTGAGCCCCATAGAGAATCTATGGGGCATTGCCAAGAGAAAGATGAGAGACATGAGACTGAACAATGCAGAAGAGCTGAAGGCCGCTATTGAAGTATCCTGGTCTTCCATAACACCTCAGCAGTGCCACAGGCTGATAGCTTCCATGCCACGCCCCATTGAGGCAGTAAATGCTGCAAAAGGGGCCCAAACCAGGTACTGAGTACATATGCCTGTTTATACTTTTCAGAGGTCTGATATTGTTCTATGTACAATCCTTGTTTTATTGATTGCATGTAATATTCTAATTTTCTGAGATTGTGGACTTGGAGTTTTCATGAGCTGTAAGCCATAATCATCACAATTATGACAAATCACGGCTTGAACTATCTTGCTTTGCATGTAATGAGTCTATCTCATATATTAGTTTTACCTTTTAAGCTGTCTTACTGAAATAAATGAACTTTTGCACGATATTCTAATTTTTCAAGTTTCACCTGTAGACTGTCTTGATGAGTCCCAGAAAGTTTTCGCCAAATTTCATACCGATCAGTTGATTAATAAGAAATCTCCAATTCAAATTATCAAAGGCCTTCTGTGCATCTAGGAACATCAGTGCTATTGTTTTATTTGGGTGCATTTCATAAAATTCTAAGACTTCTAAATTGATATCTATCTATCTATCTATCTATCTATCTATCTATCTATCTATCTATCTATCTATC